GCTGGTGGGGGGGTGCTGGAGCAGGGTACCAGCCTCCACCTTCTCAGCCACTCACCTGGGAGCCAGGATGGCCACTGACACAGGCCTCAGAGAGTCCCCAGCTGTGGGGGAGCAGCACTTTGGACCTGCTTGCGTTTCTTCCCTCCCTCCCTCCCTCCCAGCCCTGAGCATTTTCCCAAGGGCACCAGGTCGCCACAGTGATCTTTGCGAAGCCTGCCATCTCATGGTGTTAACTCCATTTTGCCACCTCAACTGGACCTTTGCTTCTTTTCTCCGCATACTCTCCAGGGCTGTGATTAAAACCAAAAATAGCACATGGCTTGCAAAGTCGCTCTGAAAGTCCCTCTGACTCTGACGCACTGCCCCGCACAGCTGGAGGCTGTCCTCCTGTCCCTCCTGGGAGGGCGTGATGCAGAAAACGAAGAGCCCCTGACAGAGGCTCAGTGGGCTCTGACCTAGGCCCAGCCCCCTCACAGAGGTCGACCTCCCTGGGTCGGCCATGGTGCTGGCAGTGGTACCGTGCAGTCCTTGGCCAGAGACAGACTTTCTGCACTGAAATGACTCACGCGGAAACCAAGCCCAGGCCTCGGCCTGTGTTTCCCACCATCAAACCAAGGCTCTGAGTCTGAGATCCCAGACCTCGAGGGGCTGGGGTGTCTGGGGGCCGGCTCTCGGGCGGGCACAAGTGCATATTCCGGGACAGTGTCTATGGTCTCACCAGATCCTCAAAGGAGACTGTGAACCCTCCTTTGAGGGAAAAAAAAAAGTTTTTTAAAACAAGTGCATGGGCTCTGCTCTTTCCCCCTTTCTTTTAAGAGTCTGGGGTTGAAACAAAAGGATCCTAAATACCTGGGTCCATATTATCCCCATTATAAAGATGAGGACACTGAGGCTCAGAAGGACCAGGGCACGTGGCTTGCTTGTGGCAAACCCACCTGGTCTCTGCCAGGCTCATGAGCCAGCCCTGAGCTAGCGCCTGTTGCCAGTACTGTTTCTGCTTTTACTTTTTAAGCAAAGCTCGCTGCAAATGTGTGAAAGAGTTCGGCCCTTGACCCCCCCTGGTTCTTAAGTAAGAGAGAGTCGGGGCATTTTTCTCAGCCTTGCATTTGTCTCCAGGAGCCGGGCTGACTCGGAAATATTTGTGGTTGGTTAATCACTCTCCTGCTAAGAGCACTCACCATAGGAGGCGACTGTGTTTATCAAACTCTCAGGCTTGAGGAGCCAAAAAACTTTGAAATTCAAGACCAAACCCCACAGTTAGCTCAGCGGGGAGACTTCAGTCCCTGACTTCCTGAAAAAAACAGGCCCCTTCTCTTCACCCCAGCTCTCACTCGCAGGGAGCTGCTTCGCTGCCCTCCCCAGTGGCTTTGGCGTCTCTCCTCAGAGGCTGTCCCAAATCTCCTCAGACTCAAGACTGCGGACCTGGGAGTGAAGGGGAGCCAGAGGGGCCACGTCCACGCCACGGCCCTGCTTCCTCTGGAGTCCGCCTCCGCCAAGCTCGCCATTTATTACGTTTGGAAAGTGGCCACCTCAGAGGAGAAAGACGTCCTGACATATGGGAGGTAACCAGGCAAGAGGTAGCTCTGTGCTCATCCTGGGCATTGGTGAGGGGCCTGCACGGGCATCGGGTCAGTGGGCCTGGCCGGCCCTGGGCTGCCTGGTGACCGTCATCAGAATAATCCACCTTTGGTACCGGCGACCGCATCCTCCGCTGTCCCCCACCTTCTCTCCTTTCTGAGAAGAGGAAGATGGAACCAGCCCGAATGCCCAACAACTGGCAGCGGAGCGGGGAGATCGTGGCGTGTGCGCAACGAATACAACTCAGCTGCTGCAAAAGATGAAATTGTGCCTTTGGGGGCAAAATGGATGGATCTCGAGGTGCTGATGTGCACCAAGTAAGTCAGAAAGGAAAAGACAGTTACCAGATGGCTTCCCGCACTTGTGGAATATAAATACCCAGAGAACGCAAGCTGCACCCGAAGCACAGCCAAGTTGACTCTCAGATTCCTTTAAAACCTACCAGAGGTCACCAGCAGGGTGGGGGAGAGGAGCGGGTAGGAGGAGGGGCCGCAGCAGCCCGGAGGCGTGTGCAGATGCACCCGCAAAGTTAGACACATGTAAATGACTGGCCAAGCAATACAATTTGAGGGAAAAAAATCAAAAACGAAAGAAAGATTTGCTGCAGATCCATACGTTCCAAGGACTGAGATGCCCTGGAGAAACAAAGACCCTCCCTGGAGGGGCTCACAGGAGTCTGACAGTAAAGGCAGGCGGCAGCACCCTGGGGTGTTGGTGGGCGCTGGAAGGAACACATGGACCCAGGGACACCGGGGGACCACCGGGAGGAACCATCACAGCCCCAGTCACATGAATGAGGAGACAGAGCAAGGGCAGGAGGCGACGGGTAGGGAGGGCACTGTGGGCTGGAAATACAGATGGCTGGTCCTGTGGGGCCTGAGCCGCCCCAGGGCCCCAAAGAGTCCCCTGAGCAGTCAGAAAGAGCAGGCAGATGCTCGCGGCAGGCCAGGGCACCCACTGAATTCCGTGTCACCTCAACGGGGCACCCGGTGGGCCGTGCGTGCCCTCGCAAGGTCAGATGCTATAGGAGGCCGTTTCCATAAGCGCCTAAAACGTGCGCAGCAAGGATTTGTGCTGCTGACAACTGCCCGTGCACACTTCGTAAGGGCTCGGATCACGCAAGATGATAGTCCCCCCTGCTTCAAGGCAACAACTGCTTTCGGAGACAGAGGGCAGAGACGGATGGTCCCGCCTCAGCTACAGCTGTGACATAAAAAGAGGGTAGAGAACGAGAAGTAAAGCATGACAAACTACTACTATCTAGTTACTATTCGGGCTGTCACATTAATTTCTGTGATTTTTATGCATTTAAAATATTCCTAATTAATAGTGACAAAGAGGTAAGCTTGCTGTCTTTCTGTATTCTCGGGGTGGGGAAGATGTTTGTAAATGTGGACACCCAAGGCCAAGATGGGCAAGAAAGAGAAATAAATTGAGTGGATAAGATGAGAGCTGTGTGTACCCAATAAATGTCCATGAAGTTAAATCAAGGAAAAGATTTAGCGCATGCGTGGCAAATCAGGGTGCAGATTCGGTACGCTTATTCTGTGAAGAGGGAGCCTTAAGGAAATGGGGAACACTTCAACATAAGCGGGCAGGGGACACGGATGAACAGTTCATCAGCGAGAAACTGGTGCCTAATAGATCCAGGATCACATGAACAGAAGAGATGAAGACATTTGTCTCTCACTTTTCACATAGATTAACAAACGCTTTCGAAACTTGATCAAGGCCGCTGCTTAGGGACGCGGGAGATGGGCTTTCTAGCTGGGAGATTGTAAACCAGTGTTGCCTTTCTAGAAATCAATTCAGCATCACAGCACAAGAGTCTTAAAATGTGAAAATTCTTTTTTTTTTTAAGATTTATTGAATGATTGATTGATTTATATATACAAGCACTGGGTACAGTCAGAAGCGCGGGAGGGTGAGAGGATTCACCAGAGCCAGAGCGGGGAGCAGAGCAGGCAGAAGGACCGAAGCACACTGCTGAGGGGAGCAGCGGGCGGCAGGAGAGGTCTGCGCGCCATGTGGGACCCTCCTCCGGTGGCCGGGGAGCAGCCGGGGATCGAACCGGCGCTGCAGAGGCCTCGGGCAGCTTCGCAGCCCAGCACTCAACCGCTGCGCCACCGGGGAGGCCCCAAAATGTGTAAATTCTTTCACTTAGCCCACTTACAGCCATATAGCTCAAAAAACAGCTGATCAACTAATTACATATTTTACAAGGGTGTTCAGCAGTTTCTTTACACTACTTAAAGCTGAAAATTACTTATTTGACCAATAGTGGCTAAATAAATTAAGGGGAAGTCTGTGACAGTTAATGACAATGCTCCAGGAATTGGGTTTATTAGGTGTAACTTATATTGTCTTGTTGACTGAAATAATCAAGTCCTAACACTGTATAAGCAGTTTGGCCCTGTTTTTTTAGAGCGCATATGTCTATATAAGGACTAGAAATCTGTGCTCCGAATGATCAGAGTCTCCACTGGTGGTGGGATTTTGAGTGATTTCTTTACACAGATCTGAATTTTCTGATTTTCAACATGTATGTGTTCCTCACTCTGCAAAAAATTAGGTTAAAAGGGAAGTAATGACTTTTTTATAAGCTTAGGATAAAAGGAATAATCTTCATTAGAGAAAGTCAGGAATTGCTCCTTCTGCCCAGCTGCCGTGAGTGGCCGCCGGGCCTGGGCAGGTGCCACGGGCAGGCTCCGGGCTGCCCAGTTCTGCTTCTGAGAGTTCAGCCTCCACGAAGACTAACAGGGGCACAGCGAGGAGAAAGCACTGAGCACAGCCTCGGGCAGCATATTTCTGACTTGGAGTAGAAGCGGCTTGGGTGTGTCACCCAAGGGTGCCCTTCAAGTAGGGTGCCCAGCCTCGCCAGGCCAAAGCCTGACACACTCTGAGAAGCAGGTCACGAAACAGGAAGTGGCGTGTGGCCCCGGCGTGGCATTTCTTAAAAGTGGCAATGGAAACTCCCACCCCAGAGTCGCAGCCGCTGTCTCTGGATGGCGGCCGGTAGGTAATTTTTATCTTTCTCTACACTCTCAGTTTCCTGTCAAAAAGCCAGTCGCGGTATAAAGAGGAAGGTGCTTTGCCTGTGGTTGATCGGGGCCCGCGGCAGGTGAGGGGCGTGGAGGACCTGCCCCCCCACAGCCTTCCTGGTGTTTCTCCAGGGCACACAGCCCCATACTTTGGGGGGTAATTGCTTATTTTCTTTCCTTTACACTTTATGTTTTAAAAAGACACGAAGGCAGTGCAGTCACGTCGCTCTGCGTCCTCCCGTCCCTTTGTGACCTCACTCCGCAGCCAGTGGCTCGGCTGGTAGTCTGCGCCCGCCACCGACCCCCGCCGTACACGCCCGGGGTCACGCACGACCCTCACGGACATCGGCCGTTTTCTCTTCGCTCCACAATAGTAGAGTCCGATTTCCCTGGTGGGTTCAGATCTCTTTTATTTTGCTGATTTACTTATCAACTCATTCGATTTTATTATCATATTATTATAGACATTATCTGTGACCAGCATCTTAAAATATGAACAGCTCCCAAAGGTGTAATTGAAAAATAAAGGTCGCTTCCCTCGTAAGCTAGAGAACCTCTCGGGGTTTCCAGCCCCCTGTCTGCCTTCGCCACTCTTCTAAGTGCTGCGCTTTTCAGTCTCTCTCCGGGTGACGCACGCTGGCTTCCGCTGAGAGAGACCAGGAGCCGCAGGCTTGGCCTCGGTCCCCCAAGTGCAGGTCGGTTCTCCCTGCCCCCACAGTGGCTGGCTTTGGGCTCCGAGTAGCATCTTCATCTGACCCCTCACCCTGGGCTGCGGAGTGCGCCTCTGGCCTGCTGCCCACACGCTCTCCCTCCAGCTCACGCCCTCCTCCGTGCTCCACTATCACCACAGGTCAAGGCCCCCGACATTAAGCCCTGTTCTGTGTCTGTATTAGCGTCACTTCATGAAGAGGTGACGCCTCGAAATTTTTTAAATCGAAAGGCAAGTATTCCAGCAGTTACACGGCTGCGTACATTTTTCTGTAGATTAGTTGGTCGCACCAGGAGGGCAGATGACATCACCTTGTGAAAGCGTCATCAGAGGGAGAATTTCCCAAACATCAGGGTGTAAATGAACCTCTAGTATTTTCCTTCCCGTCTTTGCAGTGACATTTGGGGCCACTACTTCCCATGCCTCCCGCCACCCCCTCCCAGATGTCCTTCATTTCATGACTGTCTGAGGTCAGGTCTCTCCCCGTGTGGCCTGTGCTGCACGGGGGCCCCGGGGCCTTCGCAGACCATTAGGCTGCCTCTGGGAGGCCTGGGCAGGATTAAGCCACATCACACAGCAGCCCCCAAAAACCCCCAGGCTCAGCCCCCACCGTGGCTTCCAATTGCTCCTTCCGAAAAAAGCCGGAATGAGGAGCTCGCCCTCTGCAAGTGCCTGCTGAGTGTTTGCAAGCACACGCGTTAGCCTCCACTGTGGTCAACACGCGGGGCCGCAGCCCAGTGCGCTGTGGCTGGCGGGCCACCGGCCTGGGACCTCAGCCGCCTGCTGCCGAGCACCCTCCGAGCTGGGCTGTGCGCTTAGCCTGGCTCAGGAGCACCACAGGGTCAAAGCCCACGTCCCTCCACCAGCCAGGCCCTGGCATCTCCGGCGAGGCCTGTGCAGAGCTGCTCGGATCAGGCGCGCCCAGCTGCGGGGCCGTCTCTCCACAGTCAGTGACTACAGAGATGAAGGCTCGGGTCACAGGATAAAATAAGTCCCAAGTGGTTTTGTCCACGTTTTGGTTGCAGCTGGCCACGAGTGCGCGTGAGTCACGGCCCCAGGGCCTGGCCGAGCAATGGCACTCAGCGACTGTCCGCACCTATGGCCACGCATTTCTCTCTTTATTCAAGTAGTTGCTCAGCTGAAGTTTTGTCTTCTTTTATTAAATCCTAAAAGTCACGTGTGTATTTTCCTATCAGATGCTTTTCAAATACTCTCCCCCACCTGAGGTTACCTAGTCACATCTTTAACAGTCTCTTTATTGAAGTGCAGTCTTCAGTTTAGAAAAAGTCTAATTTAACTTATTTTTCAATTGTAGTTTATGCTTTTATATTGTAAAGAGATTTTTTTGTCTAAACCAAGGTCACAGCGATCTGAAAATATGCTTCTTTTTGTGTGTAACTTTAAGGTTTTCTTCTTTGCCTCCGACTCCCAGTGATCTGGTTTTCATTGAACTTGGTGCGTTTTTCTCCATCCACAGGATTGATGGACTTTCTTGAAAATTTGGGTTAATGGTTGTTAGGAAATTTGGAATTTCTAGCTGCTATTACTTGAAATATTTTTTCCTTCCATCCCTTTTTTGATGGTGTCTTGGTCACTTGACTGGCCCCCAGGTGACCGGCACCCTGCCATGTTCTCCCCAGTCTTGTCTCTCTCCATGTCCACTTTAGATCTGATGCCCAGGCCCGGGGGCTCTGCCAGTGCCGCTTCTGGGCCTCTTCCCACCAGAACCCGCCCCCGTGGGGCATCTCCACTGCAGCTACAGGGTGCGGTGCAGGCTGGAGGGGACACGTCACGTCCACTTTGTCACACACGGGAGATGCCACAAAACCAGGCCGCGTTTGGGGCCCATAACAAGGGGTCCCCCAACCCTCCCATCCTGCCCCCCCAGCCCCACCCACGCATGTCCGTGCCGCGGGGCCTCCCTCCTCTGTGGCGGGTGGCAGCACTTTTTGAGCCCCAGTGTGCACTTTCCTGGTCTTATTTTAACTCAGTGTAGTGGCGGGCGCTCGTTCCTGAGGGCAGCTTTTTAAAATTTGGGCTTCATTAGTTTTCCCTCTCACTCGTATATCAGAAATCCTAATGAGAAGACTGAAGTCTGCGTACAAATTGCTGAGGAAATACCGAGGAAGAGAGGCTGAAGCGAGAAGGCGGCCACCCCCGAGTTCCCTCTCCTGACGCGTCCACTGCCAGGTGCTGCCCAGCCAGGTGGCCCTGGGAGAGCGAGGCTGGCCCGAGCGAGCATCCCCACGGGGCCGGGGGTCAGCACTGCAGACTTGTGCCCTGCCCCGGACTCCCACTGCGTGACCCACCTTTGCCAGTGGGTCAGGACCCTCCCGGGGCCCCGGGCTCGCCTCTGCACAGGTGTCTGCTCCCAGACCTCACTCACCCGGGCAAGCGCAGACGCTGCCAGACCGCAGAGCAGACAGGCTGGTTGGTGCTCACGGCAGCGCCGGGGCCTCCACTCCCCCGATTTCACAGCAGAGAAGACAGGCTCTGGGGCAGGGCAAGAAGCCCCCGCGGGTGGTAATGCGCCCAGGGGTGCGCTTGGCTCCGGTTCCTGCCCCTTAGCACCCTGGGTCAGCCGAGGCCTGTCTGTGGCGCCTGGGCCTGCTCTGCCCGCTCAGTGCCGCTGTGCGCTAGAATAACATGCTGTCGCACACACCCGCATGAGCACGCACGGCACACATGGCAATGCTGTAGAATACAGGCGCCACAGCTAAATGCCACTTACCTGTTCAGAGATGGGGTGACGGACAGCTTGGTCCAGCCCCATACTGTGGATGGATCATGTTTTAGAAAAGGTCTAGGCCACCGGCGGGCCAGTCAGCGCCCAGTCCCCGGGCCAGGACCCTCGCCCCGATAAAGGAACGTGGTCAGCAGACGGCGGCCTGTGGCTCACCGGTGCTCCTGGGCGTGGCCTGAGGCTCCAGTGGCGGGGACTGGAGACCCGGCCGTCTGCGTGGGGCGCTCCACCTGGCGGGGCCGGCCAGCGCACGAGGGCCTCCTCCACTTGAAGTCCACGGCACTATTCACTCTCCCCGCCGTGAGCATTTGGTGGTTTCCAATCTTGGCTCCTGAAAAGGTAATGCTCCGCGAACACTGGGGTGCAGGTATATTTTCAAGTGAGTGGTTTTGTATTCTGTGGGTAAGTAGCCAGAAGTGGATTAGCTGGATCATACGATAAATTTTTCTTAATTTTTGGAGAAATCACCATACTTTTTTGAGACTATTGGGGAAATTTGGTATGGGCTGGAGGCCAGATACTGTGGGATCACCGCCAGCTTTGTCAGGGGTGATGACAGCGTCGTGGTCACCCAGACAGTGGCTCCATGTTGTGAGACTCGTACACAATACGCCGAGGTGAGGGGCCTCCTGGCAAGTCATTCGTTTCATCGCTTTTCCAAGCTGCATCTTTTATTCATAAAATAATTTGTCCTGAAATAATTTGTCCATAAAATAATTTGGAAGATAACTGTGACTCTGGGTGGTGGCATTGCCGTGTTCATGCCCGTCTTTGTTTTCCACATATTTTTATTATATTGGTCTTGCTACTCGGGTGGATAGCTTTGTGCTTGACCTCTGTGTGGACCATTGGCCTGTGTAGACACCTGCCTGTGTAGACACCTGAGCACGGCGAGCTGGTTTCCATTGGCACCTTCCACGGGCCTCACCACCCTCGCTACCTCCTTTCCCTCCAATTTATCATCTGTCTAAGGTTTTCATTCATCCACCATCTTTCGTATATCAGTAAAATCATGTTTGTCTTTCTTTGATGTTTGTCTTTCTCCTTCTGGTTCATTTCACTGAGCATAGCCCCCTCACTGTTGCAGCAAATGGCGGGATTCCGTCTCTCTCTTTAAAGCTGACTGCTTTGCCCCGTGCGTGTGGGCCGCGTCGCCCTTGGGCATGTGGGTGTCTCCGTGTCTTGGCTGTTGTGGATGGAGCAGTGTCCTCTCTGTCCATCTGTCCCGCTGGAAAGGAGGCTAGCGTCCCAGGCTGGGAGACCCCTGGAGCCGCAGGACCTCGCGTGCACCCTGGGCTGCTGCCCTTGCACTTCCTGGCCCCACCCAGCCTGAAGCTGCTCGAGCCTCACCCTGGCTCCACTTGAGAAACCGTGACCTGTCACACCAGTGGCGGGAGCCCCGGGGAGCCCATGCATCTCGAGAACCCGTGGAAAATCATCTGCACAGACACTGTTAAGAAGCCAAAAAGAAGTGTAAGTAGTGGGCGATTTCTTCCAGTCAAGTTACTTAAATGTTTCCTTGTGTTGTTTAAGGGACATAAATATTTGCTCGGGGAGCAGAAATTGTTGGCAGCACGACTGGCCAGACAGGCTGGTCATATGGGGAGGTGCAGGAGTAAGAAAATTCTGGAAGCTGTTGCCCACTGACCCTTCACTGAGCCCGCAGCTGGGAGACATCAGGGAAGACCTGAGGGTGCAGCAGCCCTGGCTACTCAGTGACCCTTCTCCAGAACTGGGGCGACCCCAGCTCCCAGCCTTGTGCCCTTCTGTTGCTGCCTAAGTCCTTCTTTTTCATTTTTCTGTGTGTGCCAGTAACATATATGTACTCTGAAAGAATTCAAGGAATACATGAAATTATGAGAAAAAAAGTAGAAGTCATAAGAAGTCCTATCACCCAGGGGGGGACATTATTAGCATTATAAGAAATGACTGTGGGGGCC